TGCGGTTTTTCAAGTCTCTTTTTAAGTTCTTTAAAAATTTTTGGTACATTAACAAACTAAAAACCAAACTAAGGCACAAAACAAGAACGTTATATCGTTTTACGCCAACCTTGCTCAGTGCTACAGCTTTGTGCCTTTTGCGGTTGAAATCTTGGGTTCCTGGGGCCCAGCGAAACTTCTAGCGAACGAGTTGTCGGATCGCCTTGTAGAAGCCTCCGGTGACCACAAGTCTAGCAGTCATTTCCGCCAAAGATCCAAAGAAGTTTAGCAATTCAAAGGGGAAATGTTGCCAGTCCTGGGACGATACCCCAGGGTACGGCCCTAGATGCATTTTTTTACATAAAAACTTTTCTACTTATAAATTTTATATTGTAATGTCTTTTCTTAACTTTAGTGAAATATGTACAATATTATCATGATAATTATCAAAGAAGATAAACATTATGTTGTTTTTCATTTTTCTTATATTTGGCATCAGGCCAATTGCCTAAATGATTGGAGCCAAGTAAGTAATATTTTTTTCATCTCTCTAGCTCGGGAAGGCTTTCTTTCTCATTACAAATCTGCGCGCAAAAGCGTTTTTTCCACGCAAGCGTGGGAAAGGTTTCCAAAATTCCGCACACACAAAGCACATGGTCCGAAAAAACTCGGAATCGAAACCAAAGCTTTGTAAGTGGGGAAAAACACCGAAGTATATTGAGAGAGATTTTTGTGCGATATGGTAGTTTTTTGCTATATCTATTTAAAGCATATTCGCAACCGCTTTCACGTTATGCTGTCGTTTACAATGTTGTAGAGAAAGCACGTGTATTATTTAGATACATTTATTTCCATATTCAATTCAAAATATAAATATTTAGGTTTAAGATATTATAAAAAAACGAGGTATGTGATAAAACTTAAGAAAAGGTTGTTTTTATGAACTGGAAACCCTGCGCGAAACCGAATTAAATCCCTAGTTTGCCATCCTTAGAGGACAAATGTTTTTTACAAATTTAAAATGGGATCAATACTAAGGTACCCTCTTTCCAACAAAAAAAAAAATCATCATAATTGCTTCACAAATGCCGAAGTAAAATACAGGCGAATTGAGAACCTCCTCTTTTTTTAAAGTCGGTTAAAAATTGACACAATTTTTCATGCTCTCAAAATATACAGTATGATGAAGGATTAATAATTGAAATTTCATAATTTAATTATATAAAAGTTTTCCGTAAAGCTTTTTATGACATAAATATCTTAATATGACTGTCTAAAGTCAGTCTGTTATAATATAGAAGAATACACGCAGAATAAACTGAGCAAAATAAGCTCTTTCTGAAAATTATAAATATTATCCAATAGTTCAAGCTAAGAACATGAGTCATAGAAAGTGCTGAAGGTACACTGTAAACCTAGATTAGGTCAAATTACGATCATACTGTGAGACTCTGTACGTCGAATCCTGAACACAATCTGAAAGAATTGAAACTACAGGCGATCAATCGGATATCATCTGAAATTAAATTTGAAGTCAAATTATCATTTATTCCATAGTTAAAATTTTATATTTGGAAACGTCGTTTTTTAATCCACTGTATGTTGACTTCCCTGAGAAGAATGACCAAGAAACTCTAAGGATTGCTCTTTTCAAATAAACTTAAATGCTATGAAAATACACTTTGCATCATATTTGTGTGAAATGTAGAATAGTCTCTTTATGCATCTTTATCTAACCCGTAGTCGTCGATTATGTACTATGACTGTTTAATTAAAATACTTTTAAACTGAGGAAATTATTATCCTATTAAATGCTCCGGAATCTTATTGTAAAAACATATACAGTTCCCCATAAAATAATCGTTTACCTTAGTTAAACGAAATCGTGGTGCCATGAGTTTGGACTTAGTTCTAAGGTTAATATTATGGATATGCACTAAAGGTGCACTGAGTAACAAATCAGCCGAGAGAGACAAAATTATTACTAAAGAACTTAAGTAGCTACATGGTCAAGGGTGCAATAATGCTTGATTTATGCAATCAAGTCTGGATAACCGGTAGTTGCGTCACTGACTGGAACTACTAATAATTGAATTTCGTTTCTGATTGGAACTACTGGTTTCACTACCAAAGAAAACGTGATTGTGTGATTATAAGTTATTTTAAGAATTATTATTACACAGCACTGCTTATATCTCATGAACAGAATAACTCTGTAATCATCGGCTAATCACAATCGTTCTCCAATAGCATATAGTGAGCAAGCGAGATTCGAGAAAGTCAAAGTACACGAGAACAAATCGGAAATATAAGGCAAGTAATTGAGAAAAACCGAGACTTCAATGCCCCGTAATTTAGTAGCAGTAGACCGCCTCGTAAAAGAGTTCGTCCAGGGGAGTGAGTACCTTACCTATTTCTGCCGACAAGCAGTAATCTCAGCATTACTATGTTTCGGTTTTCAAGGCTAAGGATGCTGGTAAAATTATAGGGACTTGTCAACTTATGTCTCAGGGTGAGTGGCCGAGTGCCCCTCCTCAGGTCTTTGCGATTTAAAGCTCTGATTGGCACTGCAACTGTTATGGATAGACGTGTAGCTTAACATCAGGCGCACGACTTGTTCGTTCCGTCACTAGATATTATTTAAAAAAAACCGTGATCACTATATATTTTATCAATAACTCAAATGCGTTTTATTGCATAAGGTGGGATCATCTGCGAACCATGCCACGGGAGATGAACAATATAACCTCTGGGATCTTTAAAACGAGATACGACCGGGATATATCTCTTCTATTCTTTCTATTTAACATATGTGCTGAATATATTAAAATAATGCGAAAAGCCTGTGCCTGAAAAATGCTTAGAGAAATACAATAGAAAATAGCATTTTTGTCGCGGGCGTAAAGATAGCTAACCTAAGATACGATGACGATACTAAATTTCTTGCTACATCGGAGATGGAACTTGCTGAAATATTTAGTATTTTTATTTATTTAAACTTAATTGCGCATAAAAATAGTCCAAATAGCAGACTTAATGCCATTAGGCATTCTCTACCAGTTAACCGGAGAGCTGGGTTCAAAAGAATTAACAGGGGTGCATAACATAGTAATTAAAACAGATAGGAACAAGTTTATAAATAATTATGATATATAGTTTAAACACAATATAAATATAATACATAAATATGACTAATTAGAGTATAATTCGAGAGTGGACTGGTAGGTTTTACTACAAGATCTTCATAGTCTATGAGAATCGGTCACTTTCAAACGAAACGGAAGGTGTTACATAACGCGACGAATAACTTTCAAGGACTCAACCTTCAGCAACGAAAAACACGAATAAGATGTAAAAGTATCATGATTTGCTATAATAGTAATAGTGACTCTTAATACTCCCAAAACCTTTGAATTTTGTAATTGTGAAAATTGATTTTTATTCTACCGAAAACGGTGATTAGATTAATTACACCTTGAGTCACGGGGTCACAAAGGTGTTTTATTAGAATAAAGGCTTTAAATCAGATTATAATACGAGGGTGGACTGGTAGGCTTTAACTATTAACTAGACAAACGTCAAAAAGTACCTTGATACCTTTTTTTTTTTTTTTTGAGATCAAAGTCACGGCTGTTTCGCAGAAATGACACTGAAGTACAAACAAACTGATGAAACTGACACTTGAAAAATCTACAATTTTGTATTTGATCATATAGGCTCCAAGCTGCAATGTGAGCATTACTGATTTTCGATTTTGAATAGTACCTAAGGGTGCTGGTGAAATTACACACACGTGGGACTTTTCAACTTTAGTCTCAGGGTGGCGGGCGCAGTGCCAATGCCCCTAAGATCTTTGCGATTCAAAGCTCCGAGCTACATTGCAACTGTTATAGACAGAAGTGTCGCTTACCACGAAGTGCAATTGTTTGTTCCCTCACTTCGTATCATACAAAAATAAGATATAAAGTATAAATACTTGAGGAATGTTGAGAATCCTACGCAGATCATTGACTTAAACATCCGTAGAGAGAGCTGGTTTTCACGGTCTGATTCTACCAGCTATACGAACAAGTCATACATTATACTCGCTTATTATTCTAAGATACTCGCACACACAATAACTGCCAGTTGTACATAAAAACCATTTTGATACGAAAACATGATTCGAAATATATTAGGTACAAATTACAGAAAAAAGAGTTTGAAACATCATAATGTTTCATAATGTCGTGCTCAAATACAGGAACGCACGAAGTGTTATCAAGTCAGTAAAATGTTTTTATTATACATTTTACTGATTGATATTATGTATACGAGACCTTTGCCCAGCAGTGTGACATAATAGGTTAATAAAAAAAATGTAAACGAGTATGGCCTACCGGTGTATCTAAGAAAATGGTCTAAAGGTCTTCAGACACTGTGAAATAATTATACCAAACAAGCACCATCAACAGAAATTTGAAATTACGTTCCAAGTAATTCATTATTTAAAGGTTCGTATTTTTTATTGATTTGATTTTCAGCCTATTCCAAAATGTTACATAAATAGAGAAAGCACAAGCCTAAATGTTTATTTACTAAAACAATTTGGTATGACTATAACAACTTGGTTGGTTGGTACAATAAATCATTATACCTATACTAGAGGTTACTCGGTTATGAGAAAGTTAATGTTGGTACATACTACATAATGGTTGGTTTATTTTTAGTCTTGTTAACTTTAATGACAACGCTATTATATAACCAAACGTAATAGCAATAAAAAGGCGGTGTAACTACGAGTATGTCCTATTTATACTCCGCAATCGAAGAAAAATAAAATAAATAAAACAGATGGATAGGATGATCAAACCATTGTTTTTTTATAGACAGGCATATTTATTATAAATTAAACCTTAAATTTGATAGAGTGAAAATTTTGGAATAAAATTATTTATTTATTAAAAATAATATTAAAATAAATAGATAATTAAAGTAATAACACGTCGTCTGCCTCCCACAATATTATTACCTATATGCGAGAAACCGACGAAGTTTTTATCTAAGTTAATATTATTGTTCGTTTTTCCTATGGATTTAATTATGTATGTGATACAATTATGTCACTTAAATTTATAAATGCACGTTCTGTGGCTAGCTTTTCATCTAAGCTCCTGAGGTAGTTAATCGCATTAATGATACGACTAATTTTCGACACTTTACATACTAAGAACTGTAGGGCCCGTGTATTGAAGTGTTATTTATCGTTTGATTTAGACATTATACAATGAATATTACTTGAACTGCGTTTAAGTGGTTTCCCAATGTTGTATAATGTATCTTGTGATTTTTATCTGAACTTATGCTTCGGTGGGTTCATTTGAACTTTATACCGCGTCATAAAATTATTACTGTTTCTGTAGTTGAATTTGCGCCGTGTTTCTAATCAGATATAACATGCTCGTTGTCGGATCTGGCCCATGGGGAAAGAACTGGCGCAGGAGCAGGGACGGGCCAGGCTGCAGGTATAGGAGCAGGTAGAACTTCTGCGCGGGGCAGAAATACAGGTGCTGCAGGCGCCGCCGCCGCGAAGAAAAATCGAGATACTGCCTGTGGAAACATGAAGATTATACGTCTCTCAAAACACTATTGATTTTGTTCAACATTGAAAGCAAAAATAAGAAGGAAATAAAAAGGAAATTATTGTAACAATCAATTAAGAACAAAAAATAAAAGAAAATGGTATGCCACAATCGTAATCAATGGAGACAAACAGGACTCCTTCCATTAGAAGAGATATAGTGGCAAAAGTAATTCATCCCCTAGTTTGCCACCCTTAGAGGTGCAATATTTTCTTCAAATTTAAATGGAACTACGCTGAGGTATCCTCTTTCCAATAAAAAAATTATCGATATATAATACCGATTTTGATTATATCGATATATAATCAAAATCGGTTCACGAATGCCATGAGTTAACGCGTAACGTACATACAAAAAAATGCAGTCGAATGAGAACCTCCTCATTTTTTTAAGTCGGTTAAAAAAGTACTAAAAGTCCAGTGTTTTTATTGTTCAACCATTGTATTAAAGCCATTGACTTACAATTATATGGACGTCGGGTCCGCGCTAAAAAGTGTCCGAACTTATAGGGCGTTAAAATCGTATACAGAGCGTCATTCACGCTTTAGTCTTCGTTTGTTCGACTGACAGCGAAGCAAGCAAAATTAGACAGTACTGCGATGACATTACAATTTAAATTCAACGTTTTAGCTTTTTCATATTCCTTTACATGTCATTACGTTTAAATAGGTTGACTTGGGACATTTTTTTCGTGGTTTTTGTATTAGACCCGTCGTCCATTTATTTGTAAGTCAATGATTAAAGCGTATAAAACTGACATGTCTAAGAAGGATGTTCGAATTAACTTTAATTTACCAAAAAGAAATCACTTCCATATATCTCTCTTACCCAGTATTATTATCGATTTTAATGAAAAATGAAAAATAAGTAAGTGTTATTTACCTGACTGACAGCAACAATAAGTAACATAACTCCAATAGCGAGGTTTTTTACGGAAATGACTGCGAGAGCCATGAGCAGTGTGGAGATGACTCCCAGTGTGAACATCACCGGTAGAAAAATGAATGAGAGCCGCTTGAGTGCATTGTGACCGAACGTACGGCCGACGCTCGTGTCTGGAATTATAATGGAAAAGTAATGGAAAAGTAAATGTATAAATATCGAGTTCTTAGGTTTTTGACATTGGAAATGAAACTTATTTTTCGGATCTGAAATGGTATTATATGATATAATGGTATAGATTTGTTTGTTTATTATTATGAAATCAACGTTTAGGGCTCTTTACGGGTCACGTGGTTACGGCTCATACAAATGATATTAGTTATCAGCTACAATGGATAGGTAATTGTCATCACCATCCCTTCCAAGCCCCTGAGGAAAATTTCTCAAGTCCTAAGACCCGTGAAATGTAACATCTCGTTACGGGATGCTGGGGTTTATAAGTTTGACTGTGAGACTTCCCTTACGTGGGACAAACGAAATGAAGCATTTCTCCTTGTGTTCAGGGCAATTACGAAACGTCATGGATAAACCACAGATATATAAAACAAGGGAATAAATATACACATTTAACATTTAATGAAGTTGATCAAAGCCCAGGTAGTCGTAGAAGTTCGTTTTGTACCCAAGATGCTGTGAGTGCCATGCACTAAATAAATAATCGATATTGTAGGTAGAATCTATCCATTTTTTTTCTTTTAATTTGTTTTGTTGGTTTTTGCCTCGTATAGTGTTTTCTTGTACCTATACTTAAATAACAAACTTTTAATATCTTGTATAAATCTTGTTATAGAAGCGTATACGTTGCACTTAAAATAAATTTGAGACTTGGTAATGTCAAAAAAAAGAAATTATTTTAGTTTCTTGTAAAAATACAATGTATATACTAGGTTAGATTTTTTATTCCTAACAATCAAAGTTTATGTAAATTTTGCACAATTGATAATTTTTTCTTAAAAATAATCATTTTGGTTTAGTAATTTAGTTACCTTCGTACTGTAAACCAATCTACTGTCTTGTAAATAAGCATTGTTAATCGATATAAGCATTACTGCTTTTAACTTTACATAATAAGGAAATATCATCCATGAGTTACAGATAACTACCATTTCATATTCAATATCTTCTAGTATATATAAGTTATAAAAATGGACTAAGAATTATTAAAAAATTTATACCAAATGTGCATTGTCTTTTGGGAGCAGGTGTAGAAATAACAAAAATCATAACTGTAATAAATCATTATTAAAAGTCATACAGATTTATACGCATTATGAAACCGTTCTTTAGGCAGTAGTTAAATAATATTAAGTTTAAAAAAGAAATATACTGTAAAATTGTCGTGAATCTTGTGTCAGATAAGAACATAAATATTTTACCTTTTCCCAAAATCTCCAAAATCTGCGGCTTACTAATATCATCTTCGCACTTCGTGATCGCTACAAAAACTGCGAGATACGCTAAAGTAAGCACTGTGAATTTCTGGCACATATTGTTTACTATTGATTTCGTATTAATTATCGATGATTTGCAGTTGCCTGCTTGACAATAACTGATGGGTGGTTTGTCGATTGCCAGGATATAAAGTGTCCCATCGGAAACAATGGTCGGCGAGAATAAACAAAAGAAAGTGCAGGACATCGTGACGTGACCGTCAGGAGAAATGTCGCCCCCGTTACTTACACCACTTGTGGACTAATGTTGAATCATTAACGGCCTCTGTGCCCCGTAGAGACGAAGCTGACGATCCTTATCTGTGACCAGCGAAAGTGACCACTAAGATATGTTGACCTATGTTAAATCATCCATAATAGGAGGTAATAAACGTGACATCAAACAACAAGTCGTAGGAAATTATAAAAAACACTAGTTCTATCTTCAGTAACGAAGAGCGATTCAAATTCATACTGCCTCTGTGGCCGAACGGTTACCATGCCACGCAGAGGTCCCAGGTTCGATTCCCGGGTCGGGAGAAATATTTGTATGGCCTACATTTATTTATCTCGTGAGTTTGGGTGTAATTTGTAGTTGTCTATGTGTGTGTCCATGGCACCCGGGACACAGGGTTTCCCTAGTGCGGGGCTATGTCGAGTGTGTGCGTTATTATTATTATAAAAAAAAATAATTTCAAGTTTCAATGTTTATTTGACGAAAAAAAGCAGAATTCAATTAGTTAAAAAAATAATTATGGAAGTTATTGTCACATTTGTCCATAATCTCTCTAGATCAAAAGTTAAGATGTATTGATTCACTCTCGTCTAAACATACCTGCACATCTTCAAATTATTTATCCTTGTTTAAATGAAATAGCAGTATGTTACATATTGTCACTAGTTAAAGTCAGTAGCAGTAGTCACAAATACTAATAAGGATTTTAAAATATCTGAAGCATCTGGTAATATTAATCAGTACATAAGTATAATAGTTATGCACTACCAGAAACCAATTCATCTATTTAGTGGAGTTTATTACTAAATGTATTAAGGTTACAAGCAACTCCCTAAATAGGGTATTTCTATGGGTAACTAAATAATTTAAGCAAATTCAGACAGGAAGAGCAACAAAAGTGTACTTGATTTATGTAGAACCAAAATATTACGAAATATCATAGGCATTTTTCTTCTTGAGTTGTGTTTGGCCTCGAAGTGACTTGCTGCTTGATTTCTTTATACTTATTAAACACGTGGAAGTGAAGTCAGTTTCCATCATATAGAACAATAAAAAATATACCGAAATATTTGATTGGAGGCATGTTTTTTTTTATTAAAAATAATTACCTCCATCTCACCTGATGGAAAGTGATGATGAGGTCGACGATGTAGCATGCACACCTAAATAATGCCTATTCACTTTTGCCTTGAAAGATCCTGAAAAAGTCATCTATGAAGAGACCAAGTCAAGAGTGACCAAGTCAAGAGTGACCAAGTAGAGGTCTATAGTCTCTGCCTACGCCGGTGGGAGACAGGCGTTATGATATATGTGTATGTATGTATATCTAAGGCATATATATGCCTTAGATATACATACATTATATAGGCTTATATATGCCTGTACATATCTACAGCAACACGTCCTGCTAGATTTTACATTATAATCTATACTAAAACATTCCCTGGTGCATTTCAAAACTATTACCGTAAATCGCAAGTAATTCTGTTCAGCCATTTCGGAAATAATAAGAACATGGAAATTACCACAAAACATCCGAAACGCCACCTATCCAAAACCTCTTAGATACCCCAATCGCTGTACTTTCTTCGTTCTATCACAGTTAGTAAGAAAGATAAATTGGTTCAAATACACTCTTCAAATAAATCCACAGTTAAACTGGTACTGAACTGGTGTGGAAGTACTGAACTCTAGCTTTTTGAGTTCTTAAATCGCGGATACTTGTTTCTTTTTTCAAACAAACTAAGGTTTTGGGCACTTTGAAGGTCCCATGATCACGGCTGGCTGAAATGGTGAATTCATCGACCAGTTATGACTGGTTAAAAATAGCTAAATAAAAAATATCATATACCGATATGAAATCAGTTTCTTCCCATAGGGTTAGAAAGATACCGCATCGTTTTCATGACAACGTCTGCCAAATAAGGAATGACCGCATATGCCTAGACGTGCTTTAATTTGTGGTTAAAACTTGAACAATTTATAAGATCAATAGATCAATAGAAATATTATACATAAGCATAAGTCGTTGGCATGCCACTTTAAATTTCTCGTGTGACTCTTTTATTTCGTGGGATTCGTGAACAATAGCGGCTACAAAAGTATAATTACAACAATTTTAATATTATTGTTGGTGTTTCCATACTTTAATGTTTGTGCTCTCTCTCTCTCTCTCTCTTTGATTTAAAGGCTCTTGTTGGTCCAGTAAGGACCACGTATGACCAGTATTGGAACTCTGTAACAATGTTATCATGAGACTTGTTCAAAGATCAATCGGTGTGAAAGACCATAACATAGTAACATGTCATTAACATAATAGACGAGTGTTTGTTTATTGTTGTTTTCATTTTTTTATTTTCTCTATACTTTTCTTCTCCTTTCTGTGGTTCAGTAAATCTCTCCTTGTTTGTTAAGAATTTTATGCACATTTCGAAATGAACATGAATTTGAATACTCACCCTTATTGAAGAACTATCTATATTACTCGTAGTAATTGAAAATATTAGTTCTATATATAGAAAAAATTAAAACATTTTCTTTCACCACTTTTCTTTTAATTTGGTCCAATTTTATGTTGTACAGGAATAAATAGGTTATTTGACATTTATTGAAAACTAAAGCCTTTGTTTGACTTTAAAAAATAAACTCCCGCTGATGTCAAATGTAAAACCAAACTTTTACTTTGTCAAGCTACAAAAATTACTATAAACTACGTTCTAGTTTCTATTCAGAAATTAGGAGTTAGAAAGAAAGAGCAAGATCGGGTTATATCACCTTTCAAGCTACATATTTGCTTAATTATTAGACTACTTCCGTGGCCGAACGGTTACCATGCCGGAATGCCACGCAAAGGTCCCAGGTTCGATTCCCGGGCCGAGATAAATATTTGTATGGCCTACATTTATTTCTCTCGTGAGTTTGGGTGTAATTTGTGGTTGTCTATGTGTGTGTTCATGGCACCCGTGACACAGGGTTTTCCCTAGTGCGGGGCTATGTTGAATGTGTGCGTTATTATTATTATTGTTTTGCCGAAAAGAAACACAGCACTGCCCCGCCTTCGTCACTGACTTTTGCCATAAATATTTGTAGAATAAACTGAAATGTTGAAAAAGATAAAACATTTTGAGTCAAATACCTTATTGAATTTATTGTTGCTAATTTATATTTTCATAGAAAGTCTTGTAAAATAGAATCGGATGCAAAATATGTTTTAAAATGCCTATAACTTTGAAAAGTAGCTAGTTATAGATTGTATCTTTGTCATAAACATTCCTCACCGATTTTCACTTACAATCTAAATTGCCTTTACACGCATAATACACTGTGCTCTATAAAAGCTATTCGAATAGACGAATGAGAAGCGAAAATATGATTTGCGACTTAACTGTATAATTACACTAAAGACATTAAGAGTAGCGGCACGTAGCATGCAGAGAAATTCGATCGGGACATGCGCGGGCGCACACGATTGCTTGGACAATGCATATGTTAATCAAACTCTGTATTTGGCAATGCAGGCCATTTCCTGCCAACATCAATGAGGTGGAATGCAGAAAATTTCGACTTTCAAGATTTCGTATCGATGATTATACTCATCCACCAACAAAAGGTCTACACTAGACTTCAGGCCTTTTAAACTGTCTCTATTCATGTTCAAAACAAAATCTAAATTATGTAAAACTTTAAAATTTATGAAAAAAACCTTTGTAAAAAAAGTGAATTTGCTTGCTAAATATATTTTTATGTTATATAGATTTTAAGATTTTCGTGGTTGACTTTTTGCGACAATGGGGCGTGAAACCGTTCCGAAATATCGGGAAAATAAAAAGAAGTCATACCGTGGTAAGAAACCTGATATTAGTGATAATATTTTTATATTAATTAGTTAAGTATGTAAGTAAGTGATTTATAGCAAAATGAATACTAAATAGCATAGTACTTTGTATTGTATGTTTTGCGTTCAAATACACATAAAGGTTCGCGTAACGGCTTAGAGCAGAAAATTCAAAAGGTCAGTTCGTGTATGGAAAGGCGCCTTGTAATTCTAGTGTACTTCTTCATGTAATGATTTAGTACTTAGAAAGTTGGAAATTTAAAACTTTAACATTCGAGAGCCGGTAGAGGTGTTTAGTTCTCTTAATAAAATTTTTATTGTCAGGCCTAACTTTGCCTTTGCAACAAAGTTTTGTATAATGATGAGTGCTCACATTCTACACCTTTTTTTGTCAAAATATCAAACAATTCCGACATAGAGAAAAATACATATACATACAGAAATACACCTATATCTAAATATATTTGATAGAATTTAATTCGATTGTCTATGTTAAGAGCTAAAGTTCCCTTAAGATATCTCAAAGAATGTTAATAGATACTCTGTAGTAAAAGTGGACATTTTATGGTAGACTATTAGAGTGCCTTGTGAAATTATCTATAAGTAGTGTGTAGCGGACCATATCAGTGGGGATTGGGTGCTAATGAAGAGTGAGCAAGACCAAAGGAAATGCACTTTTAGTTCATTAAAATCAACAATTACTAAGAAAAAGGGGTAAAAACCAGTACATTTAATTTTATAATTTCAATTTAAAACTAACCTGGCAAAAAGACTATATAAAATATATACACAAAGGTTTGTAGTGACTGCTGCTATTCCCTACATAGTGTTATGCACAGTATTACAATATCTATTTAGAGTGATTCTTTTTTTCTCAAGTAACCGTTCTAGAATGCTATAGGACTATTTCGAGAACAGAATTTAGTCTTGTAAACAGTTTTTACATAATATAAATAGGCCTTGATTGTTGTTTTTGGTAATACAATATTAACAACAAATACAATAAAATATAAAATTAAATAATAACCAAAATAATACCCAAGTAACTTAATAATTCATCGTAATAATAATAGATTTTGAGCTATGGCTTAAAATTTTGTGCTATCAACATTTATTACATCATGACGAAATTAGTTTCAATATTTTGGACTTTTTGCTCAATATTTTGTCGTTTGGAAACCTGAATTGATGTGCAAATTTCGTAAAAGATAATGAAAACCCTTGAAAGTAAAGCATATTAAATATTGAAATATAAATATATTTGTTTTAAAAATATATTTATTGATTATTAATAATAATTTTATTTATTGAAACATTAGAATAAAGTTTGAATAAGTCCTGGGCTTCTTCTTGTGCTTTAAAATTATTAAAAAGATAGGGATTTTTTTTTGGCTAAGTTATAGTCACTCTTTAATAATGAATAGTTTTTTTTTATATTAATAGGAACAATTTTTTAAAGCTGTATCATAGATATATATTTTATATAGATAAAAGCATTAGAATACGGAAAGATTAATTTTTCTTGCTATAATGAAGTTCATCCACTCCTAAGAAGCTTTCATAATTGCCTTTAAAACGCGATGTGTGTAAACGATTTTTTCGTGTCACAGTCTAACAAAACCTTTTTAAGAAGCAGATGTTTAAAGTGTTTATGTAACAAAAAAAAACAAGGAAACAGCTTTACTAGTAATAATAATAATAATAATAATAATAATAACGCGTACACACTCATAACCCCGCACTAGGAAACCTTATATGTAGTGAAAGTCAATTCTAATATTTTAATGTAACCTCAAATCCATGACACTGTAACTACAATAGTACAATTACAATAGTAGGGTACTTGGAAATTTGAAGTTAATTTACTGGGCGTGACTAAGCTACAGTCAAATATCTGTATACAACATGACATAGGAGGTGAGCACCTATTAGTCAGTTAACTAAAGTTCGGTGCACACCAACGCGTCATGAGTACTTCTACATCACGGCATCAACGTTCGTAACAGATGTAATCTATAAAAATGTTGGGATTCTTTTTTATTAGAATTTTTATTAGACGCGAGAAGAACTTAGCGATGCATTTTTCTAATGCACTTTCTGTACTTATCTTCGAAATCGACCGATCTATTAACATTTTTTCTATTTTATTTATACTTAAAATCATACATTGTCCTTGTTATTCAATCGATCAAGAACACTAATTAGTGTCTTGTGTTGTGTGTGTGTGTTTGTTAGGATTGTGTCAAAAGCACTTATTTTAAGTGTTACGAGAACCAAATACGTACATGCAAAGAAAGCGCACAGACAATAAGTTTTTTTTGTAATAAGCATGTTAATTTTTATGAATTCATTACGTAATCTGTAATCTCTACATAAAGCAATAAATTGCATCTTTTGTAAGTCATTTCAAATCTCATAATTTTACGTATTTACGAAATTGAGTGCAATATCGAGTTCTTAGGTTTTCGCTCCGGTAACCGTCCTCGCAAAATATACTTGTAGTAACCTTTTTTTAATTCAAATTTTGGGTAGGACGGGATTATAAAAAAAAAGAAATTTGGATAGTAGGTATAGGTACTATAAACAATTTGCTCTATCAAAGTACGTAACCATGCAAATCATGTTCAAGTTATGTTGACGCGGTTACGATTTGTTTAAGCAAAGCATTTTCGCAGTCAATGCCATGAACCGCAAAAGCGGTGGAGCGTCCCTTCCATTTTAAAGGAGAATTGTGGTGTGGGCTGCGTGGTACGTTCAGTCCAGCGACAGCGATGCGTGCGCTCGCCGCGATCGTCGCGTTTATGGTGTGCTCGTGCTGCCTGCACGCGTTCGCCGCCTCATCACATCTAGACCTTCCTCGCGCGCTCCTCTCGACCCTCGGCATCAAAGAACAAGGTCCAGCGCATCGACTCCTTTCCTGTGGACAAACCCTCGGCATAACAAAATGTTTTAACGCTCTAAGTGTTTGGCGGGCCGAACATGCTATAGAAGCTTTAAAAACAGGACGAGCAGTGCAATTTGACGCGACTGAAGATGTGAGACGATTCCCCTGGGAACAGTACAGCAACAGTTCTGATGAACAGCTTTACTCCCAGTTATGTGATGGCGCCGAGAAGCTCCTTCAATATCGTTCGTTATTGCTCTCATTACCTGGTTATTCTTTAGAATTAGAATCAAAAGGGAATGGCACTCTGAATGTCGATATTTTGAAAAGTAAGTTTAGAAAGTAACATTCAATTTTATAAATTTATCATACCTAGTTATTTAATTAGGAGACTCGTAGCTCAAGTATAATCTATTTTGAGCTTCCGCCTCCCAACCTTTTGCCTATGATAGTTGTAGTACCTGTACTACATGGTGTACATGATGGCAGAAAATAAACGATTTTTATGATATTTATATTGATAAAATGATATTTCAAGCGGAAATATTAAAAGCTTTCTTTTGTTTAACTCTATATAAACGAAAATTTGTCCAAAAATAAGCTTATTAAAAAAGAATTCATAAATTTTGAAAACAATTTAAGTAGCTATATGACGATTGAAATTGAGATACCTTCTCCTCCTTGGGAAAGAATTCGTCCAGGAAAGTAGTGCCATCTTACCTATTCTCCCGCCAAGCAGTAATGTGAGCATTACTACGTTTGGATTAGGGTGAGGGTGTAGGTGAAATTACAGGCACATGGGACTTGTCAACTTATGTCTCAAGGTGACGGGTTCAGTGGCAGTGCCCATAAATTTTTTGCGATTTAAAGTTCTGAATGGCACTGCAACTGTTATGGATAGGCGTGTCACTTACCACCAGTCACACGACGTGTTCTACCGCCACTTAATATTATAAAAAAAATAATTACATTATAGCAACGCGTGAATTTAACATTCCTTTATTCGAAAGTAGTGCATCTTAGCACCGTCACGGATACATTTGGTAGCTTTTTATTTTATTTCTTTTCTAACAACGATAACTTTCTTCCAGATGATGACATCGGCAGCGGCAGAGATTCGATGAAAAAATTACAAAAGCAGTTCTATAATGTTTTACCACTGTTATTGCTTCCTGGCCTTATAATGTCGGCTATATTACCTTTTGTTTTACCAGCGCTCAAACTAATGACTGTCGGCGTGGGAATGATTAATAATATGGCCCTCTCGGGAGCAGTTTTCACGCTCTTAAGAAACAACGCTTTTAGCGATAAATATGAACACAAGATTATTTACGTAAACGAAGGCTATAAGAACGAAAAAATATCGCCTATTCACCTGCACGACGACAGTCAATTTGAAGAAATTGAAATGCCTATAGAGTTCAGCGGAAGTAATGTGAAAGGCGTTTTGGCAACCACAGACGATTTAGTGGAGATACCTACAAACGCTGACTTTATCAATCAGTATTATGGAAATGAGGGCATGGAGTTAGTAAGACGCAGCCAAATAACGCCTGAAAAAGTAAAGACACCTGGAAACATGAGAGTACCTGAAAGAGTGAACCGAAGAAAGAGCAGAGTTTGATTGCCAAAATCCTTGCCTGATTAAATTTAAGTGTCGCTAGTCTATTGTCTGTTATTTATTTGTAAAAAAGTTTGTCAATTGTACCTTGAACCTATTGCTGCCCGTCGAATTATCGATTATTATTATGTAATGCGTATTATTTAATTCGAATAATAAAGCAAATTAAATTGTAAATAAAAGATATTAAGTTATAACTTCCTTTGATTTCAAAATAAGCAGGAGTATTAAATGAAAATTAAATTAATTTTTTTTTTTCAATTGTTATTCGCATTCTCATTCTGTCAACAAATTAAGGTATTATGACATATTTATCAAAATGGGGATAAACAGAAAGGAATTGAAAAGAAAATTTCACTTAAGTAAGTACGAAGTTTTAATAAATTAGAACCTTAACAATACATGTACCTACTTAGTAAATACCGAACAATAAATTAAGAATAACTTACAAAACCACTACTGTTTAATTGACTATATTATTACAGAATAAACTACAAATACTCTAACAGTCACCGTCCTCACAATTTGGGACATATTACAATACAATAAGTCAAAAAAGTATTTACACGTCTTTCTAATAACTAAAGAAACTTATGTTAACAACACAACTTTCTATATTACTTCAATAATTCACCAAGATAGAGCTAAAACCTTAAATATCTTTGTATGAATGGTCTTAGTAAAAATTAATATAAATTGAGGAATACATCCAGTCCCACTAATGCCGTTAAAAATCTGTGTGCCGGAAGTTTACCTGTCAAGATAACTTTAATATTGTTTTTTTTTCTCCAAAGTCAGAGTCATTCTGATAACAGTTTAAGAGCAAGTAATTTATCTAGAAAGTTACACTTTATTTATACGTGTAGGTGTGAATGATATTGAATGATTCTGGAGGAAAAATCAGAAGTAATGCAAAGAAGAAACACTAACGGGAAAAGTGGAACTAGACGGTGAATGAAAGTACACTATTGTTATTCAGATTTGCTATGAACTATTTCCGCAAGTTGCCGTTCCTCGTCAGGCAAGTCTTTATCGTCCCAGCCCCACACCGGATTTTCGGGGTGGTGGTGATCGTCTTCCGCATGCTCCACTTTCTTGTCAAGTGGATGGGACCCGTCACCTGTTCGTGTGACTCGTTTCTTGATCATGTCAACTGACACAGTCTTCAGTTCGTATGCTAAACCTGAAAGAAAAATATGCATATATGAAAAGACTGAGCGATATCTATGTGCCTTACATTGTATTGCTTTGATCACTCATATGTGCTGCGGACGTTTAGGCTGATGGAGTCACTTTCTCAGCAAAATTTCAAAATGGGTAACGTTGGCATTGTAATTTTTTTTAATGTGATATTCATCAGGAAGTGATAGAAATATGTTGATGTAATATGAATTATATAGACGGCTCAGAGAGTGTACGCTAAAAGTAAGGCATTTGGTGAGGATTGGGAAAGCGAGTCCTGGTAAACCAATTTAGGGTTTCAAGGGTATTTAGGGTTTAAATCCTGGTTATGTCCTAACATTTAGATTCACAACTCAAGTATGCTTAATGCGCATTTAGGGAATGATCTAACTATCTCACGCATTAAACTCATTTATGAAACTCACTACAGCAACAATTTGCTTCCGAGAAATTACGAAAAAAAAAATTCGCATGCAAGATCTGATTAAAATTTCAGTAAGGCGGCAGAAATCGATATGTTCACAATGTGTCTTAGGTATTCTTAATTACGGATTTTATGCAAGAAAAGAATAACTAATGAATGTAAATTATGAAGACTGGTTTTCACTTTAGAAGAGTTATTGATACCTTGTAATTACAATTTGCAAGTCGGTTTACTCTCCATCGTCTGGAAATGGAGGGGATGTAGTAATAATAGCTCGACTTAAACTGTATTATTGTGTAGAATAATTATGCTATATTGACGATTAGTATTAATCATTAGCATTAGTAATTGTAAAAATGTAAGTTGAATATGAAATAAGCTTGTTGAGGATAACTTTCCGTGTGTAATACGGTGGCAATTTTTAGGTACTGATAACATCGACTTTGAATAAAATATTCTTAATTGTATTGGACTCATATTATAGAGTAAAGGTATTGTAGACCCGATATAGCTAACACAAAACATCGATAAGAATTTTATTGAGTTGAATGTCATTTATTTTGTGTTTACTGCAAAACAAGACTGTATAAAAAGGTCAGTAATAAAAATTAACCATATAAAACTAAATCACGAATACCATAAAATGTCGTTACAGGTTCAGGGTTATTTTATGTAGTCGATGTGTGTACGTAAAATAACGCTTAATCAAAAACCACTTTTTTAAGTACATAATCGATAAATATGTTGCTACATTCTCTGGTTCTAAACGTACAATGATAAAATATTTACCACCAAAAGAAAATGTTCCCTACCACCATGATGTTTCCCTTATTTTTTAAAAAAAATAGCAATGGAAATGATATCTACAACTCTCACAAGAAACCATTGAAATATTATATAGGTAACGCTTGCGTTTACTTAAGGGTGAAAGATTTTTTATTTTTATTTTATAGATTGTTTTATTCAGTAATTTATATACATGTAAAAGGACTTTTAAAGGTGTTTTGTTTACATTCACCTTGAATTTTAAGTCACTCATATATGTATAACATATTGACCCAGTCACAAGTATATATATTTACTGCTTATTATACAATAATGAAACCTGTCATGTACTCGAATTAATACAAAAAAGGTCTTGCTAGTACGGTCAATCGAATTTCATCCAAACCCATATGAACCAAGCTACGGGAAATAACAATAATTAATAAGCTATAACAATGTTAAGGTCACGTTGAATCAATTTCTGCATGACCCCAAACAAGTTTCACCTATTATGGGAACAGCTCTGCTCTTCCGTACTAAATGCCAGTTATTCGATCAATATGTATGGAAAAAAACGTATTAATTTACAGTACACGGCAAGTATAAGTTGATAAAAAATTTACCCAAATTTCCGCGAATTAAATTTCTCAATTTGTCGTCCTCATTTTTACAATTTGATTTTGTTTAATTTGTTTTAGTAAAAGCGAATAACAATCCGAGTAATAATAATATAAAAATAAATATAAGATTTCCCTTGATTCATAGAAATGACGTGGCATTACATAGGTAAACTTAACAAAAATGTCAAGAGAAGGTCAAGTCACCTACCGAGTTTAGCGGCTAAATCAATTAAGCCTGTAGATAAGTTGGTGCTATAGTCTCCCAGTTCCGCTGCTTTGTAGTCCCAAGGGAAGACATGGTGATAGTTATGCCAGCCTTCGCCAAACGCGCAAATTGCCACCGCCTTGTTGTCTGTTGCACCAATATACCTGAAACATCAGTTTGCTATTTAAACACTTGCAGGCGTTTAGCAGAATGAATTCTCCAAATTGACTCAGACTAATACAAATGAATATAAGTTGGCAGCTACAAAATTCCTATGGCCAATACGACATAAATATTATACAGATTTTTTTTGTTCGAATGTTACTTTATTTCATCATCATCCAATTTAAAGGTAAGACTCTTGTCGGTGTTTAATATGATTTAGATAAATAAAATACTACATACATGCACTACGGATAATTGTGAAAATAGGAAATGAAAACGTTTTTTCGAATCTAAATCGCATATATTAGTTTTTTTCAACTGACCATGAACCGTGACCCGTAAAGGACCCGAAACGTTTGTTTGTTTAAAAAACAAATAAACGCATTTTAGATCAGAAAAATAGTTTCAATTCCAATAAGCATCAATCGCGAAAACCTAGGAATTGATTTAGTAGGTAAGTAAATGCATTCAAAAGTCTATCAGAACTCGGGTGTTATGTTAACTTTAATTTATATAATCTCAGTACAGAGTACTAAAAAAACCGACCTCAAAAGTCATTCATCCCCTAGTTTGCCATCCTTAGAAGTGTTACGCCCTCTTTCCAAAAAAGAATCATCAAAAACGGTTCACAAATTATCGCGAACCATACATACAAAAAAACGTACTGTCGAATTAAGAACGTCCTTTTTTGAAGCCGGTTAAAAATGTACATAAGTTCGTGCGTCCACCGCGACGACTCCCACCCCCGTGCTGCACAGAATTTATTACCTTTTAGAGCGATCTATTTAAATATTTATTTTTGTATGAAAATAAAACCTAAAGAAGTTGTATGAAAAGGGTAGTTGATATATGTGAGACTCGAGAGTTGTGTCAGGATAGAGTAAAGTGGCGTTCCGTGGTCTCTGCCTACCCCTTCTGTGGGACTAGGCCGTGAGCTTATGTATGTATGTATGTACACACACTGCGCAAACAACGTTTATTTATCAGTCACATGAATTATCTGGGTCATGCTAATAGGCACTCTACATGGTGATGGCTGACCGCGATTGATGGAACGGTTACTTTCTCCAGCGCATTTTTACATTATTCGATAACTGTTGTATGAATGAATAGTATTTTGTAGAGTTGAGCAAATAAATAGGTAAAGCGTCACTAAAAAAGGCGAAAGTTGAAAAAAGCTAACAATGATGTAGAATTTGTGAAATTATCATTGTTCTCATTCTCTGTACGTTTAAAGAGGACAACAATATTAGAGATCTGTCAAGTTAAAAAGGTTAAGAATGTTGGAATTATAGAAATCGTCACAATTTTCACTCTCAACAAAAGGCAAATAATATCGATTGTACGATACCTACCTTATGCGAATATATTGCTTTTACTGACACATCGAGTATACAACGAGAAATAGAGACGAAATAAGTGCCATACATTCCTGATAACTTATCAGTGATACATCACTTATAAATATCAACTCTCACTGAAATATAGACAGCGCCAACAACTGATCTGTGTGTACGTCTCCGTATATTCCAAAAATATTCTGTATTTATTATAATAAAGATAATATCTCTAACAATTGCATGCTGTTCCATTCGGTGGTGTGGGGAAAAACAGCAAAACGTCTAATTACAAAACAAACGAAATCAAATTTAATCGGTAATTAAATATTAAATATGTAATTCTGCAATTTTCGTCCATTATAGCAAAACTCAAGTTAACTGGTCGAAGTGAAACAATTGACCACGACACCCGTCAATTGTTTCGAATTTGGGCTGGCCAATCGGAGCGCAGTTGTCACAGTAATTACACGGCAGAATAGTTTCTAGACAAATTAAATGACATTTCGTCTTTATTTCTGGTTATATACTCGATGTACTGACATTAAGATACAATCGCTCTCTAGTGACACAATCTATTGATATTATTGAATATCGTGATGTTTTTACTACTATGAATTCATAATGCTTCTTGTGAAATAACTCCAGTAGTTTGTTATCAAAGATCGGACACGAAGAATAAATCCTTCACCCTGACAGGACTCAAACTAGCGACTGCGCCGAACCTGGGCCATTCGTAAGACCTACTGACTCAATCTGTAGCTCAGTTTGTAGTGCGGTGGCCCTGATTTAACACAGTCGCAGGTTCGAGCCGAAAGAAATTATAGTGAATGATAACTCGCCAAACGATTTCCAACTAATAAAAAACGCTAACAAGATGTAGCCCAAAACTTGAAAGGGATATTGCGTACCTCCAAGTATGAATGCCGAATATCTTTTGACTAGAAGTACGTCACTTTTGGCTGTAGGAAACTACTAACAAAGTTTTTTACTGTTATTGAATTTGGAATTAAACCATGTTGTTTTTTTTAAAATGTAAGTGCGTATTTGACCTGGATCTCACCTAATGGAAGGTATATCTTTCCCGTCTTGATATATGGCTTTAAGATATACACAGGATTACTTTTAAAATACTAACAACCTCGCAGGACTATATATTACTAACATCATAAACAACAACTTCTGTTCCATGACTTATTACAAAACAATAAATTTACCAAAAATCATTATTTAACATTTTTGTTGCACTTTTGCCGTTGGCATTGGGCCGTTTTTTTTTCGAAAATTCGGCTGAAAATGCGGTTACGGTCAATGGATTACGCTATCGAGAGATGTTATCAACTCAATTTTGGCCTATTTCAGCAAGACGATGCCACAAATCACACAGCCACCGAAACAATGAATTTATTGCAAACCAAATTTCCCGATCGCATAATTTCACGAAATTCAGTCGTTAAGTGGCCAGCTCGATCATGTGATTCAACACCACTGGATTCTTTTTTATAGGGTTATGTTAAACACAGGGTCTATACGGAGCTAATTGAATCGATTGCAGCCTTAAAACTCAAAATTCGTGACGTGATTAACGAAATGGACCCACCATTTTGTCAAAAAGTGGTTAAAACTTTTATGAAAGAACATGGACATTTATCAAATATTATTTTTCATTCAGATTTGCCAAACCTTACTTTTTGTAATATAATAAAAGTTTGAATCAGTGTCATCTAAATTTATTACTTTATTTTGATTTACAAAACAAAGTTCGTGTTGAAAAACCTAATACGCGTGGCAAATTTCAACTAAAACTTGCTCACAATTTGCAAATTGCAACATTGTATCAAAATTTTTAACTCTCGATAAATCAACGTTACTTTCTAATTGACAGTCGAAAATAGGACCGTACCAGCAATTGCTTTTTGGGTAATATATTTAGGGTTGCAGGGTAGACTAGTTATTTTTGGTTAGAAATGTGAAAATGGAATTCTTTATCTGTTTCGACAACAAATCTGGAAAGATAATTGTATAGTGCAATGGCCATATTTTTTAGCAAAATAGTTTCAAATGGTGATATATTGGGTACATATTTCTTCCAAGGAACTGAACTATTGTTACTTTCATTTATGTTCATGTTATTTTACACAATGGCACTATAAGTACACTTGTTTATACTTATGGATTTACTTATTTTGCACGAAAATCCTACGTAATTATAGATTTGATGTCAGGGGAGATCGCGTATAAACTGCATAGACTTTAGAAAATTTTGTTCTGAGAAGTTCAGAAATAAAGATACGCCCGTCCTATCCGTGCAGGATGACAGCAGCGCATCCTTTTTGTTTGACACCTGTGAGGTTGGACTTGTTGTCTACGCGACACCGACAAGTAATAGATTTTACATAGTTTCGTATCCTATTTTTTATAAATAATTAAAGGAAGAAAGAAAACAAATTAGGTATAAAAAAAAATTAAAATAACTTACTTGTCGTAAGGTTTGTTGCCCCAAACATGGGCAGCGGAATTGACAAGCCAGGTGAAATGAAGTGTTATGGTATAGCGGGTGATAGCTGCGGCATACCAGGACACCCATGGGTCCTCACCCCATGCGTAAATAGGTACCGCTGCTGGTAGAATGAAGCAGAATAGAGGTACCGCTGCCATGTACGTTCTGTCATGTAGGAAAATATTTCTATGAGATAACCATAAATAAAATATAAAATTACATTTCATAACATATTCTCCAAAAGTCGGGCCGGATCTAAAGATAGTATTTAAATTATCATTCACACGTGGAGAGCATCATGATGCTGCCCGGCGAGACGGCGCGGTCTCTAGATAACGTTGACATTGAAGTGAAGTTTGTAACACAGAACTTTTAAAAATAAAATGTAAATCTCATGGTGTAATAGGTCAACACCTGTTATACCACGATATTTGCTTATGTTATCAATAAAATTGCAAGGGTTCAAATTAAATTAATCACTGTCATATTCTGCTTAATTTAGTACATCTTGTGTAAAATATAACAGCCATGGTAGCCTTGACAAAAAAAGGTCGAAACCGATCTCGCACCTCTGAGTTTCGAAATTTAATTTGAATGAGCTTTTCGGTGAAGAAAAAAATAATAATAAGAAAAGCATCGCGACGAAACCTGCACGTCGAAGAATGTTCACGCCTCGGGAAACTTATGAAGTCCCCTACCCACATTGGAACTGCGTGGTGGACTATGACTTGTTACCCTCGCCTGAAAGGAAACCCGTGCCCAGCAGCGGGACGTATAAATGGGTTGATGGTGATGATGACGATGATATGTAAAATAGTATTATTGACTTACTTTTTTTGGAACATGACAATAGGGTCCTTTTCCAAGTCGGACATGTCAACATTTGCGCCTTTCTCGAAGACTTCCTTGTGCTTGCGAACCATTAGCCAGCCCATGTGGGAGAAGAAGAACCCTCTACGAGCATTGTGAGGATCGGCATCTGTCTCAGTATACTTATGATGTACTCTGCAATTATAAAATAAAATCCACAGCTACAATCTTACATCAAAGAAAATCACAGTAATATATAATCACAATAACTATAAAATGTTGACAGGACATTAATATACATGATTTAAAAAATGTCGAATTTAAGTTTCTATACAATACATAAATCGTTTTTAGGACGTTGTTAGTTTTTATTATTCTAGAATTGCAATTGCAAATGGATTACGATATTTGGCATAATTTTGATTGTCCGGTCTCTCCTAGCATACGCTTAGCATAATCGTCATTGGATGAATATTTGTATTGCATTAAACCGATGTATTGTGCAACTATCAAATAATAATTAGATTGAATTTTCAATAGCTTATAAACAAAACATTTATTCATAATTTCACTTTAATAATTTTATACAACTCAAAGATTACTTACCATAACTTCATGTTGATAATTAACCAAAAGATAAATTAGCGTAATGATCATGTCGCCTAAGTTTACAGTATATTGATCGGATAGCATCAGCATCACCATTGATCAAGTTGCTATGATTGAAGTGAAGACGATACGCTATATGTTGGCATTGTACGCGGAAGGGATAGATTTAGATTATACGTATGGAAACCATAAATCAGGTCGGTGGAAGGTCTCCCGTTTTAAAAATAATTAATGAAAACTAAATACCTCCTTTATTATGATAGTAAGTGATGGGGCGAACGAGTCGTGCGCCTGATGGAAAGCGACACTCCTGTCCATAACAGTTCCAATGCTGCTCAGTGCTATTATCTAATGTGCACTTCCACTGCGCCCGTCACCTTGAGACATAAGTTCCATGTGCCTGTAATTTCACCAGCTCTTTCAAAGCCGGAACGCAGTAATACTCACACTACTGCTTGGTGGCAGAAATAAGTAAGGTAGCAGTACTTCCCTGGACGAACTCTTTCACGAGCTCTACTGCTACTAAAATAGAGTAATTAGTATATATAACCTAACCATTTTTATGAATTTAAATCTCAAGTGGCTACTGCTTTTAGTAAAAAGTTTTAGCTAGCTTAGTGTTGTGATTGTACTAATTACACAATACCACACGTTGATAGCAAAGTATTATAATATTTTTTGCATGTTTGTAACCTTGCTCGCATCATACGATTTGCTGCATGCTTGCATGCTATATGTGTTGTTGCACATAGTAGCAGTATATTATTGAGTAGCAGTAGAGCTCCTTGTGAAAGAGTTCGTCCAGGGAAGTACTGCCATCTTACCCATTTGTGCCGTCAAGCAGTAAAGTCAGCATTACTGTGTTTCTGTTTTGAAAGGCAAGGGTGCTGGTGAAATTACAGGCACATGGGACTTGTCAACTTATATCTCAGGGTGACGGGCGCAGAGGCAGTGCCCCTCAGATCTTTGCGATTTAAAGCTTTGAGTGGCACTGCAACTGTTATTGACAGGCGCGTAGCTTATCATCAGGCGCACGACTTGTTCGTCCCGTAACTTGGTATCATAAAAAAAAACATTGCTTTGCTTTATTCAGAAAAGTTATACAATTAAAGATGGAACCTATTTCGTGTTAGGTATTTGGTTAGGTATCACGACAAAAAAGGTAGATAGGTAGGTAGGTATTAGGTCTGTTGGTAGAGGATTTATGATAAAGCAACAAGATTGTTATAGCAACAAGGAGAAACAAAAGCTTGCCAGCCTAATATTTTATGATCTTACCTATGATCTCGCACCCATTCATAGATATGGTTTTGGAAAGCCATGGTTTGCAGTAAGGCCAGGATCACACGTAGTGGCCAACGCGCCTTATACGCTCGATGTGCCCACAGCCGATGTGCGCCCGCGGTTACACCCATACCGGACAACGCAGAAAATAATATCGCTGAAAAATAAACAAACATCACTATATTAAAATAATGTTTATAGTAGTATAGTTTTTAGAGAAGTAATTTTATTTTTTTCTTAACCTTTTTATGAAACGAAGAAAATATTTTACACTAACTTTGTTTAATGAAATTTGAAAATGACTTAGTTATCTATTATTATTGTATTGTATAACATTGTACACATAAATACAGTTTTCTGGGATGCAAGAAGTAAATCTCCCTGCATGACGTGCCTTTCTCGTTCTCCACGATATGGCAAGCATTATATATAGAGCATGCCATGGATACGATAAGAAGATGAACAATACAGTTTTTTATTTATTTTTCGCCGTTTCATCAATCTCATTGTCCTCTCCAAAATAGACTACAATTTAACTACTGACTATCTATAAAATACATACGGGTGAAGAAGAACAATTCCGGAGGTAACAAGGTTAGTCGCATTTATTTTTACATCACGAAGAAATCGTGACTCAAATTTCAATTCCATTACATTACGTAAAAGGATATGATGAGTTTCATCCAATGATTCATAAGAGATTAGTTTCCAATTAAACAACCTAGGTCATAATCATTATCATATCAAATCAAGCAATATTAGATACAGGATAATAATAGAATATGCGTAGATATTCTTGTTACATATGGATTATATATATTTTGTCTTTCATCAGGTACCTACACTAGGTTATTATTTTGTCGTTAAAGGCCACTTGGGCCAGTGTCAGTTTCGTTTTATAAAAATAATTAAATAAAGTATGACAACTGTCGCCAATATCAGCACAAAAGCTTTAAAGACGAGGCTATTCGAGTTCGACCGATTTGACGAACGAATTTTTAGTATACCTATTAGTTTGGCCAAAAAGTACGTTCGTTTATTGTAGTATAAATGAAAAACATAAAAAAAATCAAACTTTAATCAATTACGTATTGGCTGTGTTGAGTATAATCTTGATTACTCCGACATTTGCGAACCAATTTCGATGATCCTTTTTTGCTGGAAAGGGGTCTCACTAGTGGTCCAATTCAAATTAGAAGAAAATATTCCACCTCTAAGGGTGGTCGAATTCGGTATCAGTCCCTGTACTTCAATTTCTCCTACTGTCCGTTAACCAATTTCAATAAAACTTGGCAAATAGATGTAATTTCAATGAAAATAGAGCACAGCAAGAACGGAATAAACAAACTCTTAAGGTCTTTTTTTATAAAAATTTGCGCTAGTAAAGCGTCTTTACTTATAAAATACAGCTCTGTATCGTCTTATGGTCTCTTCGTTATCAAAGTCGTCTCCAGTCAAACAATTATGTAAATACTAGGGCTTGCTCCCGGCGAGGTGCAATCAAAATAGCAGTAGTAGAGGTCCTTTGTGAAAGTTTTTCACTACGTCCAGGGAAATACTACAACCTTACCTATTTTTGCCGCCAAACAGTAATGTGAACATTATATAGTGAAAAATCTGAAGAGTCTATGTGGAGTGCATATGGTGGACGAGGTAAACACGTCACAACCTAACTACAATAATTTTGAAAGGGTTTGTAAAGTGTGTGTGGCTTGGCTTTATCATGGTGAAATGAACCACACCTTTACGATTCACCTGTTCTGGGCGATTTTCATGAATTGTCAACTTAAAACTTTCTCGACAAAGTTAAAGATAAAGTTAAAGATAAAGTGGAAGCTAAAATATTATTTTCAAAATTACCATAGACAATATAACATTTTAAACTTAAGAAATTACTCTCGGTCTAGGCTGTGTAACGCGCAAGCCTACCGTGCCTTTGCCTTTTTCAGTTTAAAAATGGAAAAACAAAAAAACCCTACGGACTTTTTGACCAATCCATTATTTCATTATAATATGTATAAATATTAAATAAATTAACGACTAAAGAGTTTTCCACTAATAAATTATAGGTGTGCTTGGAACTTGAATGACTCTGTCGCTTTTCCTAAATAATACTGAAGTTAGTATGCAAAAAAAATCATTTGTGTTTATATAATTCTAATACGTGATTCCGCCTCAAAGGCAGACTGATTTAATTTAATACATGCAGTGTTTAACAAAAAGGTGCCATGTCTATATTTCGTAACAACACGAACATTATCATCATCAACCCGTACGTAGTAGTAGAATTAGAGCTCTTTGTGAAAGAATTCATTCCAGGGAAGTACTGCCACCTTACCTATTTCTGTCGCCAAGCAGCAATGTGAGTCAAGGGCAAGGGTACTGGTGAAATTACAGGCACATGAGACTTGTCAACTTATGTCTCAGCTTACCACCAGGCACACGCCTTGTTCGTCCTGTCACTTAGTATCGTAAAAAATCCCACTGCTGGGCACGGGTCTCCCCTCATGTAAGGATTTAAGCCATAGTTAGCCACGCTGCTGGCCCAATGAGGGTTCACACGTTTTTTGGGAGTTGTGAATCTTCTTCGAGGTGCAGGTTTTACCACAATATTTTCCTTCAACTAATTCAGAGTAACCTGGATTAGAATTCACTGCTTCTGCTTGAGAGGCGGTAGGTCAAATCATTAGGCTACCACGGCTTCAGGTAACACGAACAACCAATTCCAAAAAATATATCTACTATCTACACAAATTTGTCATTGCTGCAATACAATAATAATGCAAGGAAAGTAATTACATTTTCTAACTAAAGTTGTTTAGTTTTATGGACACATTTACCTCTATATATCCCAAAGTAACTATTAAATGTTGCGTCTTCTTGTTACACCATATGATTTGATTACAGCGCGAAGTTTACGCTCCAGCAAGCATGCCAATAGACAACCTCATTTATATTTATTTCTACATTTGTATTAACTGTTACTAGAAATTAACATAATTATCCACGCGAAAACGTCAGCAGGGGATCAATTCTCATATCCTGCGACATTTTTTCTCCATTGTAACATCTCTGTCGCACGAGATTAAAGCTACAGCTCTATTGTAAGATGTATGTATTCATACGAACTTCTTATTAATCAAATCAGACTAAAAATGAACCCATCTCACATCCCCAAAATAGCTAAAGTTTTATTGCTGCTTTTGTTATGAATGACAACAATGCTAAGAACAAAATATTACGTAGTCTTAAACCTACCAAAGAATTCCTTGTTGTATTTTATTTATGACACTAAGTGACGGGACGAACAAGTCGTGTGCCTGGTGATAACCGACACGCCTGTTTATAGCAGTTACAGTGCCACTAACAGTGCCACGCAAAGATCTGAGGGGCAACTCACAGCGCCCGTCATCCTGAGACACGAGTTGACAAGTCCCATGTGCCTGAAATTTTACCAGCACACTTACCCTTCGAAAGCGGAACGCAGTAATGGTCACATTATTGCTTCGAGGCCGAAATAGGTTAGGTTAGGTACTTCCCTGGACGAATCTTTTTCACGAGGAGTTCTATTGCTACTACTGCGCTGATCACCTAAATAATCTTAACATAACTTTACATTACAAGATGGAGTATCCGGTCAATACAAATTGTAGTTGTCTTTTCATAACCTAATATGTATTGTTCCACGACATGTCCCTGGACGAAAAACTTAGAAAAAAATCCACAAATTATTTTAATGGAATAGGACCTCCTATGCGGTTAAATATGTAGTCACTATACCTAGTATTTAATATTACGTTAACTACTCATAACCTTGAAGGTAAGTGTGCCATGCGTGTCTAAAAAGCACAAAAGCATTTTTATCCCATTGTTTTCCTGATTCTTGACCCAACATAATAATCATGAGAATTTGTGATGAAAGGCTTGGGTCGTGACTTCCGTGCGTCCAAGCGCAAACAAAAAAACTAACGAAACCTGCATGCTTTGTAAACAATTTTTTAAGGAAAAGTGCGTTCTCAGGAAAATCTATGATTGAAATTTTGTATATAAAATTATTATTTAAATAAAGCTAAATATTTGGACAAAATCTGACTAATTGACATAACGCCTTGTTTTTTTAAACTCCGTATTCGTTTATTCACGGGAAATAGGTTGAGGTTTTTAAAACATTCGAAAACGAGCGATTGACAATAAAGCCAGGATTAAATTTATGTATTAATGTAAGCTCCAAAAAATTACTGTTTAACCTTGAGAAACACATGGCGAAAATCCAAAATTTTGAAATTGACCTCATTTAGTCTATCTGTTTTTTTTTTTTGCCTTCTATAATACATTTTTTATATGAGTTATTAATTATTAAACACCGCATTTTTCTTAATTTGAAAATCTAAATCTTCAAAGGAGGTAATGGGCAATTTATTTCAGTTACTATAGCAAGACGTCTAACAGCTAGCTTTTACTTATTCAGTTGACAAGCGACACAAAGGAAAAGGAAAGGAGCACGAGATTTAAAAGACCGGAGGGATCCGGTCTTTTACATCTCGTGCTCCTTTACACCATTTCTGAATTGAAGCTAAGATCTATATTGCCACTCGGAGGAACTCTCCTCAATAGTACCCAAACTATAATATCCAAAGTGAGGATAAATAACACGAAATTTTTCTTTATCAACCCAGTAACAAGTTCAACAAAAAAGTTTCTGTTTGAAGTTATGGCTTTGTCAGTTCATTGAATTTTCTTTTTAATACCAAGTTACGGGACAAATAAGTCGTGCACTTGGCGATTAAGCGACACGCCTTTCCATAACAGTTGCAGTGTCACAATATCTGACACCATAAGACATAAGTTGACAAGTCTTTACCCTTCAAAACCGGAACGCGGCAATGCTCACATTAGTGCTTGGCGGCAGAAATAGGTAAGGTGGCAGTACTTCTTCCATGAACCAACTCTTTCACAACAAACTCGACTGCTACTAAAATTGCAATGGGGTACACGAAAGGAGCCTACCCGCACGACGTACCATTCCTTTCCTCTACACCCGACGCACCCTGGGTAACAATTGGCGAGTACCTTACGCCGATTGGCAAATCCTTTCACCTAGATGACAAACATCTTGGTGTATGCCATCGATATAATAAGAAAAATAAGAACAATACTTACCAAAAAGAGCAGTGAAGAGCATCACTTTGCCGGTGAAAATTAGGTAAAACCCATAAGTAGCTGATAGATGTAGGTATATGAAGGCCAAAACGTTTCTCCATACAATATGCCACCTGGAATTAAAATATATGAAGTGTTACGAAACCAAAGAATGATATAAGTCTAATTTCTTCCATTTATGCTCAATAAAGGAAGGAATATTCCCGGAAATCTGGAAGGAGGCACATATAGTGCCTATTCACAAAAAAAGTTCTAAACTGAGAATCCAAAATTACCGGCCAATTTCCATTCTGAATATTATCTCAAAAGTATTTGAACAATTAGTTTATAATTTAATATTCCCCACCATCGCATCTAACGTTAGCTATAGACAGCATGGCTTCTTCAGAAATAGATCAGTTATCACCAATCTGGGCAATTTTACACATTACGTACTGAGAGCTATGGATGATGGGTCGATGTAGTTTACACAGATTTTGAGAAGGCTTTCGATCGCGTGGACCACTATATCTTATTAAAAAAGTTAGGAACATTAGGAAGCCAAGGAGACTTGTTTAGATGGGTTAAATCATATATTTCCAACAGACGCCAAGCAGTAGTGATTGGAGGTAATAGGTTTGATTTTGTATCAATTCCATCCGGCGTGCCGCAAGGATCACACTTAGGACCCTTATTCTATAACGCATTCTTGTACGACATTGACAACTGCTTTGTTCACTCTGAGTTTCTTTTTTAAGCAGACGACAAAAAAGTATTTCTCAAAATAAATTCTTCTGAAGACTGTTTAAAGCTACAGAGTGACCTTATTCGACTCTCAGAGTATTATGATCGAAACAGAATTAGTGTTAACATTGACAAATGCGTTGAGATGGCTTTCTCTCGAAAGATAAACACCGTACCCTACGACTATAGCATCAACAATAAATACGTAAAACCATGTAATGATATATGGGACCTCGGTATAACCTTAGACAGCAAAATGATGTACGACAAACACATTACTACTATTATTAACAGGGCTTATAGGAATCTAGGATTTAAAAATCGCGTGTGCAAGCAGTTCTCTGATAAAGAAAGCTTAAAAATGGTTTATAATTTTCTGTAATAATGGTTATACTGTATATTAAAAAATATGTAACTTTGTACTATTTGTTATTTATCATCATTTTAATTTTTAATTTGGAATGTATGTAAAAGTTAGTAATACACTTTTTTCTTTTTCTTTTAAAATTTTAAAATTTTTATAATCATTATCGCTACTTTTTGAATTTACATTAGCATTCAATGAACACTAAACTCACTATGTCGCGTCATGCCATTTTTTCAGTGATATCCTATAATTGGCAACACTTATTGCTCAAGTAAATTAGTTTTTAAGTTTTACAATGTATGCTGTTGGATGTCCTTTATAAATAAATAAATAAATGCCTTTGTTGTCATTTATTTATGTAGTTTTAAAAGCAAGAGTATTTTCCGTTGTATTCACAAATTTTGTTGGAGCAGAATAATATATTGTTTTATACCGTCGATCAGGCGAGTACAATAATCACGTTACAACAGTCTTGATTGCAACTACTTTACTGCCAAATGAAAACGAACATACATAATGTTGACTGTAAAGGTACGAATTTGTGAATTCTCCTATTATTCCCTGTAGCACAACCCTTCCAAAAGCAAATTTTCAACTCTTCAAAAGCGGTTACACAGCTAGTTGTATACCAGGACTTTGTACGACAATTTAACATACAGTCACCAACACATCAAACCATACTTTTGTTCGAATACCATAAAAATATACATAATTTCATTAACAAAGAAGATCGATATCCATCATATTAACCTTAGAACTAAGCCCAAACTCACGATACCGCGAATTTGTTTAACTAAGGTAAACGACAGTTTTGTGGGGACTGCATACGTTTTTACAATAAGGTTCCGGAGCATAATTATTAAGATTATCATTTCCTAAGCTTAAAACTTACATTAAGAGTACTTTAAATGAAAAGTCATATTACAAAATTGAAGACTACGTGTTCGACAAAGATGTATGGAGTGACGACATGGCTCTAGATTCAACTCAAATTTGATTCAAAGCGAATATTCAACAGAATTTAAATTTATTTGAAAAGAGCAATTCCCCAGAGAATATTTTTAGGGAAGTCAGTACAGCGAATGAGCAATAGCTTAAAAAATGATGTTTTCAAGTGTAAATTTATTTTACCCATGGAATAAATGATTTCTTTACTTTGACGATCATCTCCAGAGCAACGGAACAAGATATGTCAATGTTTAGCTTGATATGCTGCCGTTCACGGAAGAAAAAACAATGGAAGTGCCCTATCCACAGGCTCTATTGATTATTGACAGAACCGCTGCCACCATAACTTATACGTTCATAATTTGATTGGTCGTAGTTTCAAATTTAAAAAGAAACAACAAATTCCATTGTCTGTTAATATAATTTAAGCTATACACTGTTGGCATATCGTTTTAAGTTCAATACGATCAATACTTATTATTGCAACGATACGTTTTGATTTTACAATAAAATTTCAATCAATGTGCTGCCATCTAGCGGTTAATAGCTGAACATCAACGAATACGAGATTGTTAATTAATTCTCACCCGTAACCACCACACATAATATTACAAGTGCGATTATCATTTTTGCTCTATAAAAGAAGCGAAATAGCTCCGCCACCAATGAGGAGATTTGGTAGTGGACTCAAGAGTCGACGGCTTAGCGGTGGCAACTGCTAGTTATGCAGTGCGCAACGGAAAGTGAGCGTACCTACAGCTCCGGTGCCTATCTAGACAATTGGGAGGGTAGTGTACGTGCACCCGGGGCGGCTCACCCGAGGCACTAGCCTCTCGAAGACCCGGATGACGTCGAGTGACAGAGGTCTGTGAGAACAGTACAGACACTGGCTGATCCGGGGTCAGAATCTGAACTTGTAAGGTTCCTATGCGCGCACAGGTAATAGTGCCCCTCCTGCATAACCAAGAGGTTGATAAGGAGGGGCACTATAAACGAAACTTATGTAGAATGATATGGAACTGTCTGTCTGTTGTACAATACAAATATATCTTAATATTTATTTTCCCATGGCGGCTCTTAACCTATAGTTAATGAAAAAACTTACTCGTAGTCACGACGCTTTCCATAATTGTTGTTGAATGAAATTTCGGGCATGTCCTCGTCGATGGTTTTCGTGACAAATGTGTCCGCTAATACCGGGGAGGAGCCTGGCATTGTGACGATTTGCCTCCTGTAATTAAAATGGATAAATATTTATTACTTTATCTTTATATCAAAATTTTTCAAGATTTTATATATTTGACAATTCGCACCCCACATGGAAGAATGGCATGGTACGTCAAAAATGTTTATTGCTCCATTAGATACAGAAAAATATAACCCACATCCTTTCCAATTATTGTAACCCTATAGACAATATTAGTCGATAAAGTTACAAAAATTATTTTATATATTTTTTACATTTTTCTGTATCTAATAAACATTTCTGACGTAACTTCACTTACGTCATTCTTCCATGAGGGTGCGTTGATGGTTAAAAAGTAATATGTCCTATACAATCCTTACACACTTTTGTCTGACCTTGGAGTGTCGATAATGTTACTTAAATTTGTTGTGTTGTTAAGCTTCTAAACAATCTTTTTTCAATTCACTTATAAAGTGTACTTGATACTTGGTGTAACGGGCTAAAGTGTAAATCACCGTACTTTAACGTAGTCGCTTCGCTAAAACCACAATAGGTGACATTAGCTCACAGCATTCTAAATCCCAGCCTAGCCAACGCAGTCGACTTTCCAAACAAATTAGAACTGTACAAATGTAGTCCGTTATGTCTTTACTTATTTGAATAGTGCTCCAAAATATGGTGAAGCATTCTCTGCAGGTCCAAATAGGAATAAATAGTCACTTTGCTCTGCACTCATTCGCAATTATCTAAGTAGACATAAAGAGTAAAAACAACTAAGCGTATAAAACGACACACTTCACCTTAATAGAAACATGACGGACTGTAAAATAACAAAACAATACTTCGCTTTGATAAAACTGAACCACTCTAATTTTTTCCATAATTAGAAATAAAAACATTTCAAATCTTTAATCCCCTCAATCGGTACCGAAAATAATAACAATCATATAGACACATACCTTGATTCATATACTACCGATAGTTTTCCTTACTAAAGATAAAAAATAAAAGGCACACATTTCCTTTTGTCGTCTCAGAAATATAACACAAAACACTTAGATTCACAAATCACATACAAGCTCAAACCGAATTCAGATTCTCTCCAATGAACGATTGAGTATTCACAGGAAAGACTAGGCACTTGTACTTCCGCACAGGAATCAGCTAACAAGGTTCACTTAAACTCAATTAGTTAGATTATAAGATATAGACACGTGACGAAAACAAGGTTGATATCGTTTTAGCTCATAGAATAAATTAAATGAAAAATCTATTATTACTTCACAAAGAAATACTTTTATGATGTCAAATTGTAATGGTATACGACAAGAAAATGGCATTTGCTACTCTGTGAACATGGTAAATCTTATGATTTACGATAAACAAGAATTATTTTACTTTTTCATTCGGGCCTTTTCCATGCAAGAATAGGCATACTCCATCACATTATATTTATATAATATCGTTATATCTGTAGCGGACTGTATCAATGGGTTAAATTATGGGTGCTAACAACGAGTAAGCAAGACTAAAGCAAACGTACTTACAACTTATTAATTTATTAGAAAACATGTAGCTTTCAAAGCAAAACTACAAACAAAAAATCTATAAAAGGCGCCAAAAAGCATCACGTTTAAATATAAAACTAAAATCTAAAGAGACTATAAAATATATACAAAAGAACGAGTTTGTAGCGACTGCTGCGATTCACTACAATATCTTTATCAAAAAGAGTAGTTGAAACTGTTTAGCAATGAAATATACGGACAATTTTACACTCTACGCCACGTACGATAAAACCGAATTTGGGAAGTTCAAATTGTTGCGGATTGTACACAGTGAATAATGTGTATAATCGTACAATAGGAAATAATCACCCTGTAAGTGTATTCCAACTATAGGTACCTAAGTAGAATAAAGTACGCGAGCATTAACAAGATACTACAAACCATTATTTAACTTTGCCGGATAGATGTAATTCTCGATAGTAATTATTACAATAACCGTATTAGATAAGATTTTTATACGTTAAAATCATTCTACGATTGATTTATCTTGTTTTAAAAACATAATAATTTAGGTTGTAAAATACAAAACATGGATGTATGCTTTGTAATAATAATTAAATGTGGTTTGCATGCTGTGTTATTGTGTATCAAGATCAACTTTATTTTTAAGTTAAGTAAGTAAGTAAAGTAAGTAAGTAATTTATTTCAGGACAATTTTTGACCTCAGAGAAGAACTGTGCGCGGCAATGAAATATATACATAGTAAACAACAACTTTTGTTCCCTGACTTTTTACAAAATAATAATTTTAACAAAAATAAACTTTTAAGTTTTACTTGTACTACCTGACACTTTTTTAGATCTGTGTTTGGTGGTAGTAGCCAAGTTCAAACGTCGTCCCTGATGACCGCTTTCTTTTGTTGCAAATTTTTTAATAGTTAATAATTAATAATTGCAAAATTATTAATAATTGAGAATACATTTTCAAATCAAGGTATAATAAGTACACATTAAGATCTGATTGGGTTTTTTTCTTCTATGTTACATATACGGCTAAATTTGTAGTAGCCTAATGGTGTAACCTACCGGCTCTCAAGCAGAGGGCAGTGGGTTCGAATCCGGGCTCGCATCTCTATGGTTGCGTACAGATTTAACGAATATGCGCCGCGAACGCGCTGCATGTGGGCTGTACGCGTGCTTTATGCGCTAACTTGCAGTTAAATGCATGTTAGTATATCGCACTGTTAATACAATAGTGTAAAAACTCAAAAAGTGCATTTTTGCAGAATCAATGAAAAACGAATTAGGTACTTCCTTCCGTGAAAGACTATTAAAATTTATGTAGAGGTTAAAGTTTATTACAGACATTTGGACAATTTCTTACTTGCCAAATGTATTTATATTTTTTTGAGTAAGTCCTTACTCAAAAATATGAACTTTTTTACTAGCTCACAAAAAAATAGTCCCTGTATGAGTCAAGTAGAGATCCTTTAATTGTTTCATACAATATTTTAACGACGGTTATATTGCCGTGTCGAGAATAAAATTTTACGTTGAAAAATGGTGTAATTTTGAATTTCACATATTTTGAATTACAAAATTATTGTTATAGCAGTGCGGTGTGTGGCGCGCGAGCGGCACGCGAACAGATCACACAACGTAATGCACGTGTGCAGCTTGCGAGCCTTTCGCAAACAGGCACATTTGCGGCGCATTCGCTAGATCCGTGTTTTTCGGAATTTATGACCGAAATTTCATTTCTTATTTACAACAAACTTTTTGGTGAAAGTAAGCATAGTAATGAAACCTGCACATCGAACAAGGTTCACAACCCTCGAAAAACGTGTGATGTACACCCCGTATTGGGCCACCGTGGTGGACTATTGCCTAAGATCCTCGCCTGAGGGGAAACCCGTGACCAGCCGTGAAACATATAAACGGGTTGGTAATGATTATGCTCCAATATGTAAAAAGACTTGTCAACTTTCTATGCAAGTCATCCGATCACTTGATTACATTTTGTATACGAAATTTAAAAATCATGTAAGAAACCCATAAGAAACCATACAAATTTATTTAGAATCAGCTAGCTGGTATGTCATGTGATTCGATGAAAAAAAAATTATTTTCGTTTAATTCTTTTAGTAATTTTAACTAGTTTCATAAAACAACATTGTTGTTATAACAAATGTTAATGAAATCATTAATTTCTCTATGAATGTTAACAAGAGAAAGCTTTCATGGTCACTATGATTAATGTGGCATTGATGAATTAAGTAGGACATAAGCCTTTGTATTCCAAAGTATTCGGGCTATCGAAAGTGAATCGTATCTTTTTTAGAAACCAAACTCCTCGCTCAGCATTATACGCATATAATTTTTTTCAGCAATGCGGTAAATAGGTTTGTGAAATAAGAACCATCGTTTTCAAGCTTTATTCGTTAATATTCTTCTGTATATAGCCATAGTTATCGATTACCTATGCTATATACAGAAGTCGGTAAATAATCAGGGATTTATATTCATTATCTGTAGATATTGTGGAGTAGATTTTTTTTCGCCTTTCGAATACCTGCCTACCTTTTTCTATGTCCTTTTAAACACAATTTATTATAAACTTATTATATTTGTAGGTATGGTCCTATAACATTGGTATTAATACCTACGAAAGAAACATAACGCCGTAGTATTATGTAAATGTAAAAACGTATCGTACCTTTGTACGAGCCCAATCGCTTTCTATTATTGAAAAAGTAATACAGAAAATTAATCACATACTGCTCTTTTTATTATAACCATGGTTTTTAAATATTAATGAACCCAGTGTTACACAGTATAAGTAACAAACATTTATCAGGTAATCTGCGAGCGGGCAGAAAGTTAGTGAAAAGCGTAGTGTAACTCTAATGTAATATAACTTTACACAGCATATTAGACAGACGCTGAGACCAACACCCGCTCTCTCATATACAGTACTTGGAAGACTACACACGGATCATTTATTAAGAACTTATGTGGAGGAACATACTTTTCAAAAATCAAAATGAATCTTATCTATTAAAATTACAATTTGTTGTACAATTCATTATGTAAAAAAGTACATATTTCAACGCCATATTAATTCTAAAAGAAGAAAGCTTTAGAATTAAGATAAAATACAAAAAATAAAAACACTTTACTTGGTATTCCAGTCCATACAATTCCATTCTTAGTATTACCAATACTAAATCAACCAATAATTAAATCAACTTCTAAATACGATGGTAATGTACGTAATACTGGCTAAAAATAAAAAAATTAAAAAAGAAAACTTTCGAATACGACAAATTAAACCACAATGGAAGTTTCAATAATATTCTTATAAATGTTGAAATTAAATTAAATGGAAGACAATAATATAGATTTTTGTTATTGTCTGTAACTGGATTATTTCGTTATTATATTTTTATTAAAAACCCAAGTGCTATACGAAATCATGATTAATAACTACCTCAACAAATTCCTACTCCTTTTAATTAAATTTAAAAATTAGAGGGCC